ATTCTTAAATAGTATTTTGTCTTGATGTTTTCATGTTTGACTTACACGTATATATACATACATACATATAAACATATCCTTTGTACTACCGTAATCGTAACAAAAGCAAATATAAAAAGTAATATTATAAAACGGGCCAATTCTGGCTACAGTTTTGAACTCACCACAGTCCTTCGAAAGACAAAAGTCTGTTGTTAATTGTGGCAACTATCTTCAAAAGCTCTTTTATGTTATTCGAAAAACTAATTGAAAGATTTGCTAACGTTTATGTTTGTCTTTTAGCAAAAATTTTTTTAAAATTAAATAAAATTAAAACAATAACAACAAAAAACTAAAAAAAAATATATTAAAAAAGAAAAAAATTAAATAAGCAATAAAAACAGGAAAAATAAATAAATACGTTTCTAAAAATTAAATGATATTTGAAATATTTGTTTCTGTTATACAACCATAAAATCTAAAAACGGAAAGAAAATTAAAGTAGAAAAGAAAAAAAAATGTAAAGTAAAATAAGTTACTTAAACTAAATTGAATTAATTTTTTTTTTAATAATATAACCTAAAAAAGAAATTGAAAAAAAACATATAAAAAATTAATAAAATATTAAAAAAAAAATTAAAAAGTTGTTAAGTATTAAATGAAGTCTAATTTATTTTTAAAACAATAAAATCTAAAAATTACAAGACACTTAAGTTAAAAAAGAAAGAAAAAAGAAGAAACAAATATGTTTCTAAAAATTTAATTAAACGAAAAAAAGAAAAAAAATATAGATAAAAAATCAAGTTTGTAAAAATTAAATGATATTTATCTTTCTTTTTACAACAATAAAAAGAAAGTTAAATAAAAAAAAATATAATTAAAAAAAGAGAACATAATCCGTTGCCCGAGGACTCGAACCTCGGATCTCTTGTGCTTTGCTCATTCGGCCATTGTCGTGCTTTCTGTCAAAAGAGCGTTCCACCATGAAAGTTGACAAGGTTGTAAGGTTTTCGTGGCTGCATAAACAAAATCTTTCAGACTATCGTGCCTACTGTTTTTCAATTGTTTTACAAAATAAGTACTTCCAAGTTTTCAAATTAACTTACTTAACGAAACCCCTAAATGTCTTTTTAGAAAAGCTGAAAAAACTCATATATATGTACATCGGTGTAGCCAGAATGAAATTTAGGGGGGGGGGGGGGGGGG